ACCCCCACCCCACCCCCACCCCAGACAGTCCAGTTTCTTGGATTATTTACTCAACACAGACTGAATGAGTAGGGTGAAAGTATGCGGCCCTGACACACACCTGTCCTGATTGTAAATCATGCAGTATTTCCTTATTCGGTTCAAAGGACTGTCTCTTGGTTGGTGTAGCGATTCTATATTAGTACAGGTAAACATTTTAGAATTGTTATTTTTTACAATGTTATCCATAATTTGCTATAATCCAAATCTCTAAATTCCATATCTGAACATTAAAATTATCAAGAGAGGAATTACAAAGAAAGTCCCCCATGTCCCACTGGACTGCTTTTAGTAGGAGCGCCCCAAGACTATCGAAATTTTAGAGATAAATTTATTTAAGACAAAGACTAGGTTACTTGAATGTAACATACCGGCTTGAAGCAGGGAACCAAAAGAGAGGTCTGAGGGGTTGGCCCCAATACCAACTACGTGGACAGCTCCCCCTCCCTCCAGAAGAATTTATTTCAGAGGACAGCACTGAAGCTACAGCTCAGGGAGAGGGACATGTCTGCTCAGAGCACACAGGAGCAAATGAACGGGGAGGAAGCCCACCAAGCCTTGAGGACGATTTCCCTGCCCAGAGCAGCCAATGCACAGAGAGGATCATAGGGCTGGCTCCACTACGAGGCATGACATACCTCATGGACCCATAGCACTACGTGGGGCAACACTGGAGACACAGTGCGAGAACTGTGCCGATCTTACCACACCGAGGTGAAACACTAAGGGCATGCAACAGAGCAGCAAGGGGAGCAGAGCAAGGAAGTCCCCAGGCAATACTACAAATAGACTGTGGGGCCAGGGCATGGCCCCCCATCAGACTCAACCAGAAATCACTCCTAAATATCAACAAACAGCCCTTGAACTATTTACAGGATTTTTTTTTTGTCGTTGGTTTTGTTGTTGCTGTTTTATTTTCTTTTGTTGCTTGTTTTGTTATCTCGGCATGTCTATCTAGATAGATAGGCAGGATAAACAATCTGGAGGAGAAAATAACAGGACCGACGGTTCCAGGGGAACGTGGGGGAGGGGGAAGTGGGGGAAAGGAAGTGGTGTTAACCAACCCAGGGACAAGGGAACAACAAGTGATCCAAAACCGATGGCAAGGGGGGTGTAGGAGGCCTTGTAGGGCTTGATCAAGGGCAATGTAACCGAGAGGAATCATGGAACCCAAATGAAGGCTGAACATGATAGTGGGACAGGAGGAAAGTAAAAGGAAATAAAGGAAAGAGCTAGGGGGCAAAGGGCATTTATAGAGATCTAAATACAGGCATGTACATATATAAATATATTGATATATGAAATATATTGAAATAGATCTATATACATATATTTGTAGGTTTAGTATTTGTGGGGGGAGACCAGCCCCTCACACTATCATGGGTCCAGTAGGCACAAATGTACAGTTAAGATATGTAAAGACTATAGTAAAGTCATAGAGAATAAGAGAGATAGAAGAGAGGTAAAATAAAGGAGTCAGAGACATTTCACGGTAGCATGCTCACCTCAGCCCTTCCACGTGCGGATGCAGGAGGAGAGGAGGGCAGGAGAGAGAGAGCGATTTATTTCTAACCATGCTTATATCTCTTTTGGGGGGTATACAAGCCCCCTGATTGCAGGTAAAGACATACATTACAGGAAGGGGTTGCACTATAGTTAATACAGTAATGGGAGGGGGACGATCTAGGGGTGTGCACGCTATAGTAAGAGAAGAGATTAAAGGTATGAATGTGACAAGATGGGTGGATCCTAGATTCATGGTGGCAGCCTAACCTTGATTGTTCTTGAGCTTGAGACTTGATTTAGTCTAAGCTTTCAGGGGAAGCAAGCCACTGTCCCTAACAGTAGGGAGTGAGCCCCACCAATGGTGGGACAGACAATAGGGTCTGCTTGCTCTGGATGCCTGGAGTCTTCAGGGAGATAACTTGACAATCATTTGCCATTAGTAGCAAGCAGTGTCCTAGGTCTGACATATATTTTGGGGGAAAGAAGGTGGAGAAAAGTCTTTTTATATCCCACAAGTATTGGGGTAGCAAATGGACATTGGGCCTCTACTCAAGTACTCCCTCAATACAAGAATACTTTGTTCTATTAAATTGGCATTCCATGATGCTCATCTTTCTGACACAATCGCTGAAGACAAAGCAGGTGCATAAGCAAATGTGGTGAAGAAAACTGATGGTGCCTGACTATCAAAAGATATAGTGTCTGGGGTCTTAAATGCTTGAAGATAAACTAGCGGCCATCTAGCTGAGAAGCAACAAAACCCACTTGGAAGAAGTACACCAGCCTGTGTGATCATGAGGTGTCAAATGGATCAGGTATCAGACATCAAAGATCAAAAATCACATCACTGTGAAAGAGGGGGGCGGGTACAGAGTGGAGACTCAAAGCCCATCTGTAGGCAACTGGACATCCCCTTACAGAAGCATCTCTGGGAGGAGACGAGCCAGTCAGGGTGCAGTATAGCACCGATGAAACATACAACTTTCCTCTGGTTCTCTAATGCTTTCTCCCCACAACTATCATGATCCCAATTCTACCTTACAAGTCCCGCTAGACCAGAGGATGTACACTGGCACAGATAGGAGCTGGAAACACAGGGAATCCAGGACAGATAACCCCCTGAGGACCAATAATGAGAGTAACAATACCAGGAGGGTGGGAGGAAGGTGGGGGAGGAGAAAGAAGGAACTGATCACAATGATCTACATATAACCCCCTCCCTGGGGGACAACAGAAAAGTAGGTGAAGGGAGACATCGGACAGTGTAAGATACAAAAACAATAATAATAATTTCTAAATTATCAAGGGTTTGTGGGGTGGGGATGGTGGGGAGGGAGGGGGTGCAGGGAGGGAGGGGAAAAATGAGCTGATACCAAGGGTTCATGTAGAAAGAAAATATTTTGAGAATGCTGATGGCAACAAATGTACAAATGTGCTTGACACAATGAATGGATGGATTGTGATAAGAGTTGTAAGAGCCGCCAATAAAATGATTAACAAAAAAAGACGAGGTTACTGAGAAATGTAGAGCTAAAGCATTAGCATTTGGTTATTAAATATTCACAAGATGTTCACTACCTACACTGAACACTTTTTGGTATGTTTGAAGAACTTTTTTTCTTGCATATATTCATACCACACACTCATTTTCATACCCAGGCAAGATCAATTATAGCAAGATGACCCATTTCATAATTAGTAAGAGGTAGAGAAGTAAGTAAGTAGAGAAGCCTTGGGTGAGTAACCCTCACTCCTTGGTTCCTCTTTCCTCACTGGATACCATTGGGGCAGGCTTTATCCACGGAGAGAGGCGTGGTTTGGGGCCCTTCCAGTAGTGGTGTCTTACAAAGCAGAGGTGGCCTCTTCCCATTAGACAGGCCTTCTCTTTATAAAGAATTCCCTTCAGATTTTCAGAGCATCTGTATTGCATTTAAAATACGATTTAGTTTACCAAGATATCTTTCCAAACATTTTTTTCAGAAGAGTTGTTATATCAACAACAGTTATTACACTTCTGTCATTAATAAAAGCAACTGACAGTTATTAAGCCAGTTCAATATGCCAAGTAATGTAAAATTCAATATCTCAGGCACATAAAAAACGCCTTCCTTCTAGAGATGACTTGAATTAAGCATCCCAGAAACCCCAAGAAGTAGATATTAGAGTTGTTTCTGAGGCTTATCTAACTTGTCCAAGGTTACAGAATTAAACAGTGGAAACACTGGGATTTAAACTCCCTTTATTTCAGCCACGGAGCCCTGGTAGTGTAGGGGTTTCGAAGTGGGCTGTGATCCGCATGGGTGGCAGTTCCAAGGGACACAGGCTGGGCTTGCTACTCTTGTAAACAGTTCCAGTCTCAGAAGCCCACAGGGTCACCATGTGCCCCACAGAGGGTCACTCTGAGTCAGTATTCAGCCTGACCCCAGGGCACACCGTTAGCTCGGTATCTCCGACCGGCTGTCCGTTTCAGGAGTGGTTCCTTCCTCAGAAGAACCTTGGCCCTTGTGCCTCTTGGCCTTCACAAACCCATCTGAAGATGAGGTGGTTCCTTTGATTTCGGCTTAATGTCATGATGTCATGGGCCAGTGTTTTCATTGAGAAAAGCTTTGGGCCTTCCTTAGAAGAGTAACAGTGGTATTTCTGGTTGACCTCAGGTCTCTTGTAAGTGACTGGGTGAGCAGAAAAGGGTTCAGATTTCCTTTAAACACTTAGTATGATTCTTCCCTTCCTGTTCCATCTATTTAAGTCTAACTGTGCACATGGCAGGATCACATTATTTTGCAACAGACTCCGGTGGAAAGTTGGCACAGTAGCTCGAAGCTCACACCTGTAGAGCACACCCCAAAATGTTCACATCCATTATTTTCATTTTCACAAGAAATTGTTGAAGCAGCTGAGGCAGGAAGGATATCCCCACTTTGTGCAGACGCACCCGAAAGGCAAGGCGAGGCTCCTTGCCCTGCACCGGGAGCTGCTGAGAGCCGGGCCCCAGGGCCCTTGCCACACCATGCCCTCCCTAGGTAAACAAGGACAGCAGAGCCTCATATGTTGTGGCAGGTGGAACCAAGTGACTACCATCAATAGACCATGCCACACCAGGCTGTGGCCAGAGTGGCTGCCCTTTCAAACATGTCAACCTATTCTCAGGGGACGAGGACTGTCGTCAGCCAATTTGCCACTGCTCACACCTGTGCAGGGTGATAAGGAAAGTAGAATTAGCCTGTGCAGCTGTGGTTCAACCAGATAAAACATTTAGGCGGGAAGTCAAGTGACAAGTGAACATGGGTGTGTGGGTGTGTGTGTAAGTGTTAGTTACTTTTTATATGTTTTTTAAAAGCTCCTAGGCTGCGGGTGGCGTCAGACTAAGTGACAGGGAGGTACTGCAGCAAGATGGACTTAAGGAAGAACAAAGCCCATGTGCAGCTCCCCCAGACACCTGACTCTCATCAAGAGAACCACGCTCCAGGTAATGAGAGAGACCTCCAGAGGTGGCTTTTGGGAAGAACTGGGGCTATGAATACTCTTGCCTAGTCTTGACGGATCTGGCAAAAAGATCAAGATGTAGTTGGTCATTAACTTTAGGTGGGAAGAACTGAGGTGTCTTTTAGCACTAAGATTACAGCAAGTGTCAGAAAGACAAGGGAGAGATAAATTATTGATAAGAAATGTACTCAGACAAAAGCGAATGAAAACACCCAGACTGGATGGTTTCGATAATCAAGTGTACCCACTTGCTCTCAGTGTAGCATTAATTTAACTTTTGGAAACAGAGGTGGCAATGAGTAGCAAGAATTATAATAGTGCTTGTTCTTCTGACTCATGAAGGCTATGCCTAGGTTCTGGCCTAAATCAGCATTTCTCAAGATGGTCTGCAGACTACGAGGCTTTGAGGTGTAGTAAGAGCTGGTTTTAAAAAAAAATTTATGCCATGCTGATAAAACCTATAGACCTCTTCTCAGGACAGAAAATAGAACTATGTGAACTTCAGTACGTAGGCGTGCTCACTTCAGGGGTACTTGTATTTCCACTGGAATGGTAGAGAAGGTGAACATGGCCCTGTTCAAGAATGACACCCTAGTGCTCTCTATTTTTTTCCTGATGAGAATATAACCTTCAAATAATACTTCTCAGCAAGTGATTCAAAATGTGTTCTTTTAAAGATGTCTCAGCCCTGCAGAGTTCCTGGATGGGAGGTTCATGACTTTTAAAGAGGACATATGGTGGAAGGGGGAGAGAAGAATTTAAATCTATAGGATTACAAAGAAAATGGGTATATTAATATGCAATGATCAAAATAAAAACCTTGCGCTATAGCAGTGTGTGGGTTTGTAGATGCATGAGACAAGGACGGTCAGTGATGGGTCTAAGAACCTTTGGAGGGATGTGTACCAACGATACTTTGAAGTGCCTGAGACCATGGTAATGTGATAGGAAAAGCAAGTCTCTGAATGTTTGGATGACAAAGGTGACAACGATCTCTTGCTGACATTCACCATGGAAGGGAATGGTCATTTTAATTCTAGGGTAGTATAAGTAGGGGTAAAAGTTTTCCAGTCTGAGTTCATCAACATAAAGAATCCTTGTCCCAGGGGGAGAAAGGGAGAAATGATCGACGTACAACCCCCACCCCCAGGGAGATGAACAGCAGACACATGGGTGAAGGGAGACAGCGGACGGTGTAAACTATGAAAATTAAAATAATTTATAAATTATCAAGGGTTTATGAGGGGAGGGGAGGGGGGCGGAAAGAGTTGCTGATACCAAGGGCTCAAGTAGAAAACAGATGTTTTAGAAATGATGATGGCAACAAATGTGCTTGATGAAATTGATGTATGGATTGTTGTAAGAGCTTTAAGAACCCCCAATAAAAGGATTTATTAAAATTAAAGAAAAAGAATCCTTGTCCCGAGAATAGGAATTTCCCACGGGTGCAAATGGTTAATGTGCTCAGCTGTTTGCTCAGAAGCACTAGGAAGAAAGGCCTGGTGACGTACTTCCAACAACCCAGCCCTTGAACACCCTATGACCATGAGTCAGCGTGTCCCTGACAACTGGAGGTGGTGTCCTAAAGCTATGAAGGCCACCATGGTCATACTGCATGCTCTGTCCTCTACTCAGGGGTGGGGGTGGGGTGGGGTGTTACACATCACAGGACAGAGGGGCATAGTAATGCCTCAAAGAAATTCTTCATCAAAGACCAAGTCACTCCTCAAACTTGTATGGCAACAGAACCTTTTTATTGAACCTGGAAGAACATAAACCTACGGGAACAATCCAAAAGAAAGAAAAAGCGATATGCATGAGTGTACTTAGTATAGATCTATGCTGGCAAAACATGAGTGGCATATTATTTTTTTCCCTAGTGATATATGATCAGTTTATTGACAACATTATATTAAAAACTCCCCAAAACTATTGACAGGATAGATCCATTGGGAGCAGATCACCTGTAAAAATCTTGCTATAATTGATTTATTGGAAAACCTGTTAACTCCTTACTTAGAGTAATGGTTGATGAACTTGCATCTTATCCTGCTGGGTCAGTGTAGTCCAGTGTCCATCTAATGCTATTACTTAGTCCTTTGTTCTTGCTAGTGACTTGTTTTTAAAGGAGGAATTGGGGCTACAAAATGTTACAATTTTTGCTAGATTTTATAGTAACTGGCATTTTATTTTTAATAGCCTAAATGACCAATACAAGTAAAATACAAGCAGGTAAATGACAATATATAACTTGATTAACTAATGTCACCATTAAAATTATAATTATGAAGATTATAGGAAAATATTTGATATGTTAGGCTTAAAAGATACAAAACAGTAATATGCTATCATTACCCCGAAAACAAACAAATAACTCACTGAAATTGAGTTTATTCCAACCCGGTGACCCATGCTCGGTTTCTGAGACTGTAGATCTTTAAGGGAGCCGACATCTCATCTTTATCCTGCAGGAGCCCCTCCTAGACTTGAACTGTCAGTCTTGTGGTTAGAGCCTAATGCCTTACCCACAGTGTCACCAGGGCTCATATGCTATCATTAAAAGTTTGGAATGTGTATAATACAAGGCCTGGATGAAAATAAATAAAAGAAAGACTCTTGCTGAGAGTAGAAAGCCTCATCTTTCTCCCATGGAGCGGCAGGTGGTTTTGAACTGCTGACCTTGCAGTTAGCAGCCCAACTCGTAACCACTACAGCACCAGAGCTCTTGGTTTATAGCACACTTAGATACAAATACTCCAAAAAGTGTTCCTCACAAGGCTAGCAGAGAAACATCTTAGACACAGCACATGGAGGTTTGTTGCTTTTCCTGATCAATGCCATCGTCACTCACCCCTTTTCCCTGTCGCTCTCCTTTGGGTCCACAGATGTCATTGGCACGCGGAGTTTGAGGAATCGGGAACAGCTCAGGAAAAGAAAAGCTGAAGCACAAGAACAGCAAACTTCGCAATGGCTCTTTGGGTACAGTATCAGTGCAAGGGGCAAGAACCAATACTGAGTGCGTCTTGGTCACCCGCCAAGGCATGCCGCACATTTTACAGACTGCATTTTGTTTCCAACAATCTTGTACACCGGGCATTGTCCCCAGGGGGTGAAAGCTCTTGCCCATAGTGGCATTGCTAGTAAAATGGTGGGGCCACGACGGTATGGTATCCCCGGTCTCTTTTCTGTCAAGTTGCGGACAATGGCATTTTACTAGGGAGAGGCCTGGTGTTCAGCTGCTCCGGTTGCAGAAACGTGGGGGCGACAGTGAGGAAGCCTCCAGAGGGTTCTCAAAGCTTTCTCCGGGGTGCATCCCTGTTGTGTGGATGGGATTCACTGTCCCTGGAGCAAGCCACAACTGTGTCTGTAAATGAGTGACGGGGGAATTTAGGGAGTCTGAAACCCCCCGAGTCAAAACCAAGCCAAACTCCCTGCTTTGCCGTCAGTGCAGTTTCCAAGACGGTAACTCTGTAAGGAGTAGAAATCCACACATCTGTCTCCCACAGAAGGGCTGGTGGATTCCCACCGCTGACCTTGTGGTCAGCTGCCTAACATGCGCCCAAGTCAGAGTCCCTGTAAATGTTCTCTGGATGGGAGTACAGAAGAGGGGTGTAAATCAGGCAGTTCCTGATGGCATCCATTGAGAATATGGCTTTGGGCACAATGACTTGCTTGCAGACACAAAAGAGAGCCCCTCAAGCCAGCAATTATTTCTTGGGGGTGAGCTGGGGTGTCCCGTGTATTGCTGCTTAGCAATGTCCCCAGTAGCACCTAGCACTCTTGCTGTGACCGTTGAAACCCGTCCATATATTGCCAAATGTCCCCTATGGGTCAAAAACACCCCTAGTTGAGAATAGCAGAGCCATGCACCCTTCTCCAGAGAGGGCTTGCCCCCCAGCCCCATGGCTTGATTACTGCACACGCTTCTCTAGCGCCAGGTAGCACCATCCACTCGCTGCCGTCAACTGGGCGGCCACTCGCAGCCACCGGACAGCACAGAGTAGCCCTGCCCTGCAGGGTCTCCAAAGCTGTCATCTTCCGGAAGCCGACTGCCCCATCTTTGTCCCACGAACAGCGGGTGACTTCCAACAACCGCTTCACCCCGGTAGCTCCTGGAGCGCATACATGATTGGTAAACGGAGAAAGGTGTCCGCGGGAGGTGGCAATGGCGTTGGGTCACGGCTTTTCCTCGTCCAGGGCAGCCAGAGTAGCGGGAAAGGGAACGGCTGCCAGCTGGGCTTGCGACACGGAGCAATAAGCAAGATTCCCTGGGGCCGTGTCTTCTGCAAACGCAGAAGGAACGCCCGCCTCCCGCGCTCTCTCCCGGGCGGCCGCCCGCGGCCTGCGCTTCCCCCTCTGGCCGGCGCGGGGCGCTGCGTGTCTCAGCCCGGACTCCGGGTCGGCACCTGCTTCCTGCCCTGGGTGCTCCTGCCCACCTGCCTGTGTGCGCCGCGCAGGCCGTGGCTGCCAGAGCCAGCGACGGGCCGGGGCAGAGCGAAGCCGCGCCAACCCGCTCCTCGGGCACAGCCACTCTAGTGCGTGAGCTGGCAGAAAGCAAGTTTCTCTCCCAACTCTGTTGAAGATGATTGAGTTAATTCCCCTAACTCCATACCCCCGCCAAGCCCCCCAAGATCGTGGCTCCCCATCCTGCCTCCAGGGGCGGGGTGCTTTCCCTGGCTGGCCCTTGTATCCCACATGGGCGTTGAGTGTACACCACCGACTGGCTGGGTCTCCCCCCAGCGCTTGGCCCCTGGGAAGCAGAGGTCGGCACGTGGTGCTTGACAGAATTGGGGTTGTGAGCTTGCTGGGTTGAGTGTATATATATATATATATATATA